TCGCGGTACGGACTGGATTCTTAATTACTCAGGCGAGCTTCGGCCGTAAAGGGTTAGAACAAATACGTCCTCACTCCGATTCCCGCAGACATATTTATGAATGCACAATATGCAAGTAAACAACAGCCAAGAGAGTTAAATGACGTCACTTACCTATCGCCTCGCACTGCAGAATCTTCGTTCTCCCTTCGCTGACAATGCTGTCGGACGAGGAAGGCTCTATCGTAATTCGCGGGGCCTGCAGCAAATCTGAAACAAGACAAATTCACAATTGCACTAACTACCTCTACGCGTCGTGACTTTTGAATACGTTCACTCTACTCCTCCATGAAATAGAAAATGCAGACTCATCTAAATTAGACCACCACGACATGAGGCTAAAGGATGTGTCCACCAACTTTTGGAGATTCTCCGCGGGGGCTGAAACAGATGAGCGGCAGATGAGGTGAAACACGATCGTTTGCAGACTCCACATCAGCGATAAACCGGCGTGCCTATGCAAGTTTCAAAAATTACCCTACAAAACACGGAGATTTTTTTTGCAATATTCGCTAGTGTACAAAGACTACATTTTTAGCTCGTAATTTTTCACCTATTCAGAAAAATATTAATTTTTTTTTATTTTTCTTGTAACGTATACACCGACCAATGAAGCACATCTTTCAAAATAGTCCGAAATGGGGCTGTATTGAACATGTCAACAGATCTTCGACTTCCAGAAGACTCAAATCTAATTTTATCCTCTACAATCTCTTCACCAGAACTAATCTCTTTTCCCTCCACCTGTTCAAGCATATTCTCTTATCTCGTCAATTATCTTTCCTTTCATATAACTTGCCCTCCTCTCTTCTGTCCTCTGCTCATCCGTCATGACCCCTCGACCCTTCTCTCTTCATAAGCTATCACAACCTACCAGAAGATTGTGGCGAGACAACAGCTGCAACCAGGGCTGTAAATTCGGTACTAAAATCTCCAACTCCTTCATAAAAGCTCGATATATATTAATAAGGGTAATCCTACTAAAATAGTAAATGGTACCACAAGAGATTGCATCATCACCACGTGAATCATCAGCCTAGTTTTTAGACTTGTGACCTATATTTAAATATACGTCTAATGGTTTTGCAGAAATCGATAGTTTACCGACGTTTCAGAGGTCCATGCTGCCTCACACGGCGCTACAACCCAGAAGACAATTTTAAGCTGATGGTCGCTCAGATAGTTAGTATATTATCTTATATTCATGACACCCTAAGGTTTGTTTCAGTGTTCACAACAGCCTGTAATTGGACCCTGTATCAATTCCATGATACCCATTTTAATATTATAATTCCATGGGCCTGGAAATCTCTTCTCGTATTTTCTGAAGAAATTGATCGTGTACATTTCTGACCTCAACAGTGCGTAATACATGCCCCGCCCATCGAATTCTACCTGATTTGGTCACCATAATATTTGGTGAAAAGTACAAATTCTGAAGCCCCAAATTCCACTAAGGTAACATAAGGATATTTCTTGATATTATGTGGAATTTCACTTTGTAACGAGATGAAATGTCAAATGCAATGAAGTGTGACACTAAAACACTTAGCCGCGGAGCACTTTCAGGGTATTAGACGCTTCTAGAGTGAATGATTCTCTGATGTCAACGCATAAGAAGCCGTCGCCTCAGACAAAAGAATTCATGATGGAATATGTCAAGGTCCAACAAACAGATTCCTTTGCAGGAAGTTCAGAGCCCTCGCCATTCAGACGTAGGAGTATCGAGGATGCAGGTGCGAAGGGACGACGTACGCCCCTCCGACAAAAACTCCACTTCATGAACTCAGTTCAAGAAGAGCAGGGCAGCATCCGTTAGCTCTTACTTGCAGTGCAGGGGAGAGAGAAAAGTTATCTCTTTTAAGGACCATAAAAAAGCTTTCCTCAGCTTATAAAGTCCATAGTTGATCTGTGGCTAAATAGCGACAGATCAACTCCGAAACACAAATTCCACCCATTTGTATCCTAAAAGCCAAGAAAATAAAAAATATGCATATAAAATTGTCGAAATATTACGGATTATTTGGGGAAACGAAAATTAACACGACAGTATAATATTAAAATGGGTCTTAAATTTGATCTGGCTCAGGATAGGGGCCACTGAACACTGTAATGAACTTTTGGATTACATAAAACTGAACGAATTTGACTATCTCAGCGACTGACAGACCGTGATATCACTTACTTCTAAGTACAATACGTCCACTTGCGTGACTTTTCTGAATTACACCATCCAACACAAACTTAAGTCCGGTTGTTTCGTCGAGTTACTTGTGACAAAGGCGATAATTTTCTGAGCAATTATCAGTTCCGAGGTTCTTATCCTGTCAGTACAGTCGCAGGTTGTCTTGTCGAGTGTCCAGAGTCTGGAGTCAGGATCTTCGGGA